TAGACCCAGCAAAAGAGTTTGATTAAAAAAAAAATCCTATGGCTTACACACTCTGGGTATGTTGCTAGGAGGGGTTATTCCTTGGAGAGGGACATCAAGCTTGAAAAGGTGGAGTGATGGCACAGGAGAGGAAGACACGCAGGCGGTGGATTGAGAATGATTTCAGCAGTGGACAGGAATGTGTCAGAGATTGTGAGGAAGATATAGGACAGCACAGCTCTGTTTTCCATAAGGCCGCTATGTGTTATACTTAATGGCACTTAACAACAACAATAACAAATTTTACAGAGTTATAGGAATGGAGAGGAGTGAGGTAAGGCACTTTGGGCCAATGCCTTTGGAAAGGACTGTGATGAGCATTGGCATCTCGGTGATTCTCAGTCCTCAGCATAGCAGGCCACCATTTTTTGGGGTGTGTGTGTGTGTATGTGTGTGTGTGTTTTAAAATTAATTTTAATGAAAGTTTACAGAGACTTTGGATTTCCATTCATTCATTGTTGCACTTTTCTCCCTGCCCAACCTCCCCCCCCCAGTTCATTCTTCTCTTTGAAAAGTAAAAGAAAAATTCTTTCATTGTTATACAATCTCTCGCTCCAAGTACACTCCACTATGCAGCCTTCATTTTGAAAAGCAAAATTCGTTCATTGTTTTACAATCCCTCCTCCCAAGTCCACTCCGCTATGCAGCCTTCATTCTGGACTCCTGTCATGATAATACCTAATCATGTATCCCTTTTAAATTTTTTTCTCCCTCATCTGTTTCAATGCAGTATACATTATTTATCCCATCTTTCTCAGTCTCCCGCCAACCCCGGTGTCAGTCCTGTTTTACAACAGTGCAAGCCACTCTTAAGTCAGGTTAATGAGGCCTCATGCGGCCTGGTGGGGGAGGCTTGCAGTGAGCACAAGTCTCCTTGATACTGCTGCTTTGTTCCCCTGGCTGAGCAGGTACCCCTTTGCAACATAATGTGTGCGTGCATGTGTGACACATAGACATGTATACCTTGCTCTATCATTGAACTCCAAGTACTAGTGGTCAGAAAGTACAGACTTCCTACTTAAACGAGTTTAATTGAGTTATCAATGGATAAGGTCTTGGCCAAGTCCATGCATTACCTATGTCTGTATAATTAATTGAGCAGTAATTTAACTACTCCAAATTACTGAAAAGCAGTGATGTTAGTTTGAGGACGAAGGTGCTCCTTATTCAGGCTATGGTCTTTCCAATCTTGCTATGCTGCTGACAGCTGGAGAGTGAATAAGGATGACAGGAGAAATTGCTTTTATTTGAATTGTGTTGTTGGAGAAGAGTGCTGAAAATACTATAAGCTGCTGAAAGATCAAACAGATATGTCTTGGAGAATGTGCAGCCAGAGTGCTCCTTGGAGGCAAAGATGATTCAGTTTTGCCTCACAAACTTTGTGCATGTTAGGAAAGGTTATTCATTGGAGCGAGATATCATGCTTGAGGAGGTGGAGGGATGGCAAAACAGAGGAAGATCCTCGACTAGGTGGATTGACACAGTGACTGCAGCAATGGGCTCAAGTGTGTCAGAGCTTGGGAGGACGGCATAGGGTAGGGCAGGGTTCATATCTGGTGTCCACAGGGTCTTTATGAATCGTAACAACAGCAACATACAATTGAGAAGAACGCATGAGCAGTGCAAATGTTTAATCCATGCAGTTGCTAACCATAATTAAAAGTCAAAGCAAGCCTATTTACAGACAAACACAAGTTAGATGAAAGTATCTTCATATATAATGGTTAACCTTGTCTTTAAAGGCTTTTATATATAGTAAAAAAATACCTTCCAGGGAGGAATATATGTATATTGCATACCACTTCTAACCAAAAGAGCAGAAGCTTAAGTCTACCCAGAAGCCTAAAAAGAAATAAACAAGAGTTTACTTTTGGTTGTTGTTGTTGTGTACCATAGAATATGAACAGACCCATAGCTGACCCTCTGGTGGGTTTCCAGAGGCAGTTAATTAAACTGGAGGAGATCGAGCATCTGACCTTGAACTGCATGCCTTTGAGACTGCAGCGCCACTTTTTGCTACTAGGCCACCTAGATAGAAAGATAGATAGATAGATGATAGATAGATAGATAGATAGATAGATAGATAGATAGATAGATAGATGATAGATGTTAAGTTAGCTGACTTAAAGAAGGAATCAGAGAGAATGAGAGAAAGCTTAATGCAGCTTTATTAAAGAGGGGTGGGAATAGGGAAGCTCCGGGGTGAGGTTCCTCATTCTGAGGATGCAGCATGAGAAAATGACACTCTTGAGGGGATTGGGGAGCGGTTTAGGCCAGGCTGAATAGCTAGGATTTTACCTTGCTCTCCCCACCCCGAGAAAAGCAAGCCTGCCAGATCCTCCCCCCTCCCTTGGAGATAGACAGAAAAACCAGACAAGGATAAAAGGAAGTCTAGAAACTAAAGATAATAGGACATCGCAGCTACAACAAGTTCCAGGATTCAACTGCTGAACAGGAATACTGATGCCCCCAGGATAGCCCCCCTCCACACCCAACCCAGAAATCTAAGACCAAAAGGATAAACACCAGACCTCCCTCCCTGGTCAGTGCTGACAATGCATTGAGAGCCTCCACCCACCGTCAATGAGGCAAATATGAAATAAAAGTCCATTTACTATACACTTGGCTCCAGTTGGTTTTAGACCAAGCGGGTGGTGGGACCTTTCAGTTTATACACGGATAGAATCATTCTTGGATGATTGATGGGATGGGAAGGAAGGGAGGAGGGAGTAAAATTGAATGGATAAGTTGAGGGAAAATCAAGGCACTATATAAGGGGTTGATTAGATGCTAATTACATTAACCAGTTGTAATTAATATTATTGAAACAAGATGTGTAGAAACGATTCCATGAAAAACCACTATCATCTGTAAACTTACATTCAAATATAAAGAAATAATTATCAAAATATGCCTGCAGGTGTCAGAGACAGACTATAAAGATCAAGACATGCTTGCATTGATCAAGGTGCAAAGATTACGATATTCTAGGAAACTTGTGGGTCACCAAAGCCTACTCTCTATGATTTCCCCTCCATATTTGATTTCCAGTTATTATTAAGAATCCTTTATTAAAACAATGTATACGAACTTCGTAAGATAGTCAGTATGAAATAAAAATTTCATTTTAAAAAAAGAAGTCTTTGTAAGCAATTTTATGTAACTACCAACCAATCATGGTTTATTTCAATCTGTTCTTCCTGTTCATTTACAGATCTCTGGAGATGAAAAGTATATGGGAACACTCAGTGGGCTGCTTTGACTTTGTGTTTCTCTAGTTTAAACTGGTAGCTTTGTGGAAAGAATTGAGCTGCCAACCCAAAGGCTTGAGGTTTCAATCTACTAGCTAGCTCTTCCTTGGGGAAAAGATGGGAAATATCCTCTCATAAAATTTATTGCCTCTGAAAACCCACTGCAGGGTCATCTATGGGCCCATTCTGACTTGATGGTATACAACAATAACTCCCACAATAAACTCTTCTTCGGCTAGAATTGTTCAACCAGGTGTTTTCTCTTTGGCAAATATTTCAACACCTTCAAGAGGACACTTAGAAACTCAACAGGCCTATGTTGCAGCTAGAAAAAACTCAACACCACAGCCAGACTTATTTATAGTTTACTTCTACCTTTTCCACACCTCTTGGATTATCCTTAGAAACACCTTGAAATAAAACTAGTGTTTACTGAGGAAAAGATATGTGGAAGCAGAGACACAGGGACAGAAATAGCTTTCAGAGGAAATTGTACAAATTTATTAATTTATTACAAAATGTCCACTCACAGAAAAACACAAGAAAACTTTTATACTTTTTTTTGTATTTGGGAAAGGAACTGGTGTCTCAGATACAAAATAATTTACACATAATCCATATAATTTTATTTTATATAGAAATAGGTCATTATTACAACAGCTGTACAATTCACTACACTTCGTATTATAATTACATAAATTCTTCTCTTTAGAAACATCTCAACATAACAAAACATACAAAAAAAGCAAAGTGCATTTTTAAAAGGAAAATCCAATCCTCAGGATAATTATGAGAGATATGTAGAAAGATGCAGCATTCTCACTCAAAGGGCCAACATGTGGTGGGGTTACCTCAGAGACCTGGGGTCCTGTAGGCCTGCCTGGCTTATGGAACTCTCCCTTCATATCCTAATTGTTTTCTACAGAATTCTGGAACATCAGCTGCATGATTGTGCTTTGTGTCCACATCTATAGTTGTGATTAATGAAGTAAACAGGAAGTCCAGTGTTACATTTAGTGGGGAAAAATATCCACTAGGACAGCTGTGGGATGATGTGTCCCATTAGGCTTTAGGCCAATGGGTGTGGACCTGCAGCTTGATTAGTAACGACCAGTTCTACTATCTGATTGATGGGCTCTCTGTATTAGTGGAGTCCCTGAAATGAAGTCAAGGGACCTTATTCATTTCTTTAAACAGAAAGTGCCTAAGTTATTTCCTCTGTGCAGCTGTGCAAATGAAAAAAAAAACACAATTTAAAAATAATGAAAAATAATCTCTTTATCCTCTTTCTCTCTTTCTCTCCAACACATCTCTGACCTGGTGCTTCTCCAATGCAAAGGGAAGATGATAGAGAGTGTGAAGACCGACTAGCTGGTGTGGGCGAGCCACAGCCCGCTAGAGTGACCGGGTGCTCTTGGGAGGATGCAGTGAGAGGTGCCATGGAAGGTAAACTGAGGAATAATGCTTATGGGGCACGAGGTTCACGACCAAGTATGGCTGTAGGGTGTGTAGAGGGCAGGGCCAGCGCCCCCCATTGTTCCCACTGGACCAGCCCCAGCACTTGGGATTGCAACCCTCAAGGAATTCTGGGATGTATTCCATGTGCATGAAAGTCAAGGGTGTAGTTTAAACTCTCCCCAACTCCTGTGGCCACCCCGCCCCTTGTCCATTGGTTAAAGCTGACTGTGACCTGACTGATGCATCAGGACACTATCGTGGTGGCTGCTGGAGGCCGGGCTCCGACAGACTGCTGACCCTTCTGGGTGGGTGTGGGTGCTGGGGCTGTGGCGGGGGTGCTGGGTGGTAGCTCAGGGTCCCTGGCGGTTGTGAGTAGGTGGGTAGAAGCAGCGAGTCCTGCTGTTCACTGTGCAAAGAGGTTGGCGTCTGTACCTGGGAAAAGAAAGGGGGAAGAGTGGGTTGCAGAGATGGTGCTAAGATTGAACAGCCCCTCAGCTCTTGCCCAGGGGGTTGTGCAGTCAGGTGATGGGACTTCCCTCAGCTGGCTTGTCACTGGAGATCCTGGTGGGATAGGGACAAAGGAAACAGAAACACCCCCTGATGCTGTCAGTTTGAAGGATTTCAAGAATAGGGTGAGCTGTGAAGTCAAACTCTGGTGGCTTGAAAGGCTCCTGCTGGCCCGGGGGAAGAGGGCAGAGTCTGGACAGTAGGGTTCTGAATGCTGAAACTACAGATCATCTCTAGGACAGATCATCAATGCACATTCCATCTGGATAATTTTCGCCAATGGTCCATGACCCCATCACTACATCTAAAATACTGCCATTGCAGGCCTCAGCTAGCCGACATCTTTATGTGAAGTTTAGAAGCTTCAGCTCTTCTAGCTCTAACTTTGCAGCCGTCAACTTTCATTTCTTACTAATTCCTTCCATCGGGAGCTCTGGCGGCCTAGTAGTAAGAAGCTGCACTGTAATGCTGAAGGCATGTGGTTCGAATCCACCAGCTGCTCCATGGGAGAAGGATGGGCAATCTCGTCCCATGAGATTAACTGCCTCTGAAAACCTGCTGGAGAGTCAGCTATGGATTGGTTGTGATGCAATGGCAACAACAACACATGGAACTCTGGTGGCCTAGTAGTAGTAGTAGGAGCTGCACTTTCAACCTGAAGGCACACAGTTCAAATCCACCTGCCGCTCCATGGGAGAAAGACAGGCAATCTTCTGGGTGATTTACTTCCTCTGAAAACCTGATTGAGAGTCGGCTATGAGTCAGTTCTGACTTGACAATACACAACAACAATCCCTTCCATATGGAGCTCTGGTGGTTTAGCAGTAAGGGATTGTGCAGCCAACCAAAAGGCACAAGGTTCAAATCCACGAGAAAAAAAAAATCCACCAGAAAAAGATGTATACTCGCCGCTTGTGCAATTTACTGCCTCTGAAAATCTGCTGGAGTTTCAGCTATGAGTCAGTTCTGACTTGATGGTACATAACAACAACAACAAAAATGTTGTTGTTATGTGCCGTCGAGTCGCTTACGACTCACAGCGACCCTATATACAACAGTCCTAAACTTTGCTCTGTTCTGTGCCAATCACGCTGTCTCCGACTCACCCACCCTGATTACCCCAGTCACTGAATCAATCCACCTCATAGGGGGCCTTCCCCTCCTGCGCTGTCCCTCCACCCTCCCAAGCATGATGTCCCTTTCCAAGGACCCGTCCCTCCTGGCAACATGTCCAAAGTATGTCAAACGAAGCCCCAGAATCCTTGCCTCCAAGGAGCCGCCCGGTTTAACCCTCTCCAGGATAATGTGTTTGTTTTCCTAGCAGTCCATGGTACCCTCAACACTCTTCTCTAGCACCACAGATCAAAGGCATCAATTCTCCTTCTATCCTTCTTAGTCATTGTCCAACTCTGATGCATAACAAGTGATACCAAAGACCATCACCTGTATCAGAGAGAGAGACACCATTGCTCTTCAGTACTTTGGAGAGGTCCCTAACAGCAGACTTTCCCATCACAATGACCAAAATAGACAGTGAAAAAGAAAAAAAAATCCAGTCAAAAAAATAGGAGTCTTCCAGAGGCTCAGCTCTGTGCGGGACTAGCACAACCTTGAAAGCAGGCTCAAAAGTCTTGGATGTGAGACTACCGGGGGCAAAGCCCTGGCCTCCCTCTACCCCTAGCTCAGCCTCACTCGCACCTGCAGGAAGTGTTGTGGCTGCGGCTGGGCCTGTGCAGGCTGCAAGGGTGACGGCTGGGAGGCGGAAAAGCTGGGGTGAAGCACCGCTTGTCCCATCAGCAGGACGGGGGTCGAGGCGCTGCTGCTGGAGCTGTGCACGTCTGCATTCTGAAACACTGCCTGGCTCTGCTGATACCTGTTTGGGAAGGAGAAAACAGAGCTTGGAGAAAGAAGTGCTGGTGATAACCGCCCATTAGCAAGAGGGAGTTAGTCCCAATACCAGTTGTCATTGAACTTGCTGCATCTCATTGTGACAATGCGTATGCCAAAGGAGAACTGTATTCTCTCTGAAGTTTTCAAGGGGTGGCTTCTTAGACACTGAGGCCTTCTTAAGTTCCTCTGGGTGGATTCAAACCTCCAATTTTTGGTAACAACTAAGCACATCAATCGTTTGTATCACCCAAGACTACATAAGGGGTGGGAGGGAAACCATTTAGGAAAGTTTTCAGAGATTATTGACAAGAACTGGATATTTAAAGACAGTAAAGAAAAAAAATATACATACATACACACACACACACACACACAAACACACATATATATGTATATATATGGAACATATGGAAGGTCTGTGTCTTGCATTATAACTTTTATTTTCAGAGCTGTTCTTTCTCTCCAAAGGATAATCTACAATAGTCACTGAGAGTTCTAAATGTCCCCTGAAGAGGCGTCTGTGTGTGTGTTTGTGTGTTGGAGGCAGGCCCTGATGCCACCAGAGATGGAGCAGTGAGGTCATGTCTGGAAGAGACGTGAAGGGTTGGTTGAGGGTATCAATTATTGGGTTGAACTATTATAAAAAGAGGCTTCTACACAGATAGAATCAATCTTGGAGGTTTAACATGGATGGGAAGGGAGGGAGAGGGAATGAAAATAAATAGTTGAGTGACAGGAATAGCAATACACAATAAGGGGCTGATTAGACATTGTAATTCATTAATTATATTCATCAGTGATAATTATTATTATTATAAAACAAAATGTCAATGAATGATTATATGAAAAACTGAAAGGATATGCCAACCTTCACTCAAATTAAAAAATTAATTTTAAAAAATATGAAGTTAACTGAAAATTAGCCCTCCCAGAGTAAAGAACTTTCATTTTTGTCTGGATTTGTCACCTTTTAAGCATCTTTGAAATCTCTCTGTCCACTTTATGCAGATAACTTAGTAAGAACAGGAAAAAAACCAAAAAACCCAAATTGACCCAAGGCTTGAGAGAGAACTGTGAAGAAAGTCCTATGCATTGTGGGACCCTCTCATTGGTCCAGGACCTGGGAGAGGAACAGGAAGCAGGGCGCCACTGAGATGAGAGGCCAGCCACAGTGGGGAGACTCCGGCAGTCATCAAGGACCCTGAAGGGGGCTTGTACCCTGGGGTTAGGTCCTGCGTGTGTGCCTTTGTGAAGATGACCTGGCCTCTGCCCTTGGATGATTCGTAGTGACCCCATGTGACAGGACAGAACTGTGCATAGGGCTTCCTTGGTGGCAATACTTATAGAAGCAGATTGCCGGATCTTTCTCTTGAGTGGATTACAAATTGCCCACCTTTTAGTTAGCAGCTGAACATGTAACTGTTGTGCTACTAAGTTTCCTCACCCTAATCCTTATGAGGCTTAATTTCCTTATGGGTTAAAGTGGACAGTGGTCCTACACTCTTGGGTTTTCAGATGAAATGAAGTTATGTGAATGGAAGAAATGCTTAGTAACCAGCTGCTTTTACTGTGGTATCTATTATTACTGGCTGACAGAGCGTCTGGAGGGACTTCTTGGGGACAGTAGTTGGTGGGGGGCTAGGTAGCTTGGCAAGTGTTTCCAAAGTGCAAATTGGTGGATTTTAGACACAAATGAAACATGCGTTTTTGTTTAAAAAGATATCTGTGAGACATTTCAAATTCTGCCTCTTTGTGAAAGCTAGAAACGATTTTCCAGCACCTTTCCAGTATGCCCCCTCTGTCTTTAGTAATCTTTGTCCCTGGTAATTAAACAGCAGAGCAGGCTGCTTCTGGTCCTAGGCGTACAAATGCAGAGAAGACAGTAAAGAGAACGGAGGACGCTGCATGTCTGGGATGAAGGAGGTTTTCACATCTGCAGGGGTTCAGAGTCCTGCGATAGAACATGGGAGCTGCAGGTGAACATCTGCTGCCTGCCCAAGGCATCCTGCAGGAGGGACTGGGACTAACTCTACTAGGGATGCAACAGGGTCAAGGCCCTTGGGTAACGTGGGGTGGCTGTGCGGTGGAATATATGCCCTGGTAGTGGGTTTGGCTACTGAAGGTGAAGAAATCCAAAGAGAATGACAACCTGGGCATATAATTAATGCTTCATTTGAATCTTGTCTTAAGCAGGGAGTGTTGTTTGTTTTTTTTAAAATATTTTTTTATTTGAATGAAAGTTTACAAATGACATTAACTTCATTTGATCATTCATACACATTTTTGTTTAAAATATTCATTATGATTGATTAATGTAATTATTTACAATGTTAGATCAACTCCTTACTGTATATTGCATTTTCTTTCATCCAACTTATTTTTACTCTTCTCTCTTTCCTTTTCCAGCTCTGCTAAACATTCAAGAATAAAACTTTCTGTAGCTTTTTATAATAGTGGCCTTATCCCATATTTGTCTTTTAGTGACTGATTTATGCAGCTTAGCGTAATTTGTTCTGGATTCATCCACACAGTTCAGGAGATGTGGCTGTGTCTGCTGACATGGTCTGGCTTGAGGAGTGGCAGGAGAAAAGTTAAAGGGAAAAAAATCCTCTTACATGGCATGGGCACGCTTGAAAATCAGGCTGGAGAGCAAAACTGATCGTGAGAACTACCGGCCCAGGCAGGGGACAGTGCTGCCAGCCGGTGACCATTCACATGCAGGCCTCTGCCTTTCCCTCCCCCCAGGCCACGTACTTGACCTGCCGTCCAGGCCTGCTGATCTCCGACGATGGCCTGGCTTCACAGGACCCGGGCATCATGGGCTGGATGGGTTGGCTCAGCAACAGTCTGTAGTGGAGGAAGAGACACGCGGAAACACATCAACCCTTGCCTTACTCAGCACGTGCCCAGTCTGGCTGATCCTAATCCCTGTCCCCTCGGCTCTGTTCTCAGTGCACAATGACCACAGTGGTCTCTTTCTAGAGACCATCTCGTGCTGCTTCAAGCCCCGCCATCAGAGATGCTCCTCTGCTGTTCTATTTCTGACTGATGAGAACACACGAGGAAGGCCTTCTCCTTCACTAGCCCAGATAAACCGCAGAGACTGTTAGCTCTGAATGCCTTTTCTCTGCCTCATTGGCAGAAGAAAGGAAAGCTGAATTAGAGTATGTGAAAACAAGTCTTGGTGGTCCTGGGACAGGGGAGGTGTATGTACCTGAGCTGCCGATCATGGCTGAAGTCTGGGCTGGGCTGGCACTGACTGGCATCCTGGGCGGTGGAGGCAGGCGTGGTCAGGGTCAAGGCTGGCGGGAGCACTGCGGCAGCATTGCTGAACGGGGACGCCAAGCTGCTCACGGGATGGCCACTTCCCTGCAAGATCTGTGAGCTTCGCATCTGCTTTGGACCCTGAAGCATCATTTTCATGAGAAAGGTAAAAGTGAGACTCCACTCAGGTGTGGGTTCTCCAGGGAACCTTCCTGGAACCTCTCGCAGCTCACTCTGGCCATTACTCTACCTCACCAGTAGAGGGCGCGCCTGAGCAGACGATAACTCACTGAGACTCCATACGTGTCATAGTGGAACTATGTCTCCATAGAGTTTTCAGTGATTGAGGTTTTTAAAAGCAGAGAAAGAGGCTTTTCTGTGAGGTGCCCTGGGGGGCGGGAAGGGGGGAACTTGAACCTCCAATCTTTAATTTAGAAAGTACATTCCTTAACTTTCTGTACTACCCAGGGATTCCTCCTTCAATTTAGGACTGAAAAAATGTTATTTTGATCTTACAACCCTCAACCCACTGAGTTGAGAGCACCCCAAGGATCCTTTGATGGTGTTGGGTTCTTAGAAAAGAACACAACCATGAAGTATATGCTTCCTCACACATTCCACCCAGCACTCCAGGACCTCCTTGTCATTTCCTCAATCATCGGGACAACCACTGCCTCGGAGCCTTTATATTTGCAGGCCCCTCTCCTCTCTGCAACATTCTCCCCTTGATACTGAGAACGCTCATTCTCTCACTCGAGTTTTTCTCATGTCCCCTTCTCATCGAAGCCCTTTCTGCCTACCCAGTGTAAAGACACAATCATTGGCCATGATTACCAGTGTAAGACACTCCACTGACATTTGATGGCTCCTGTTTGTTTCTCTCTCAGTGCTTAGAATTTAATGCCTAGTCTGCAGGGGGTGCTCAAGAAATACTTGTTGAATGAAATAAGAAGAAAAAGAAAAGAATGCAGGAATGGGCTTGGATTTGCCTTGAATTTTCTGTTTAATTAATTAATCACCACATGCTGTAATATGTACCAACAGCTCAACTCAGTGCCATCCAGGCAAAATGGACTCATAGCTGACCCAGAAGTGGGTTTTCAGAGGCTGTAAATCATTTGGAAGAAGACTGTCCACCTTTCTCCCGTGGAGCCAGAGGGGCACTGTCCTTGGATTAGCAGTGCAACTCCCTGTGGACTACATCACCCGAATTATATATGCACTGCTGTTGTTATGTACCTTGGAGGTGGAACCTATTTATAGCTGAACCTCCAGCAGGTTTTCAGAGGCAGTAAATTGCACAGGAGGAGAATATTCATCATTCTCTTGTACAGCAGATGGTGAATTTGAACCCTGTGCCTTTGGGTTGGCAATGCAACTCCTTATCACTAGGCCATCACAGTTACTTTATGTATGTGTAGCTTTTCTAAAACCTTTTAATAGAAAAATTGAACCAGACCCACTGTCTCCAAGTCAATTCTGATGTATGCTGATTATCCATCCAATTTCCGAGGCTGTAAGTCTTAATGACAGGAGACTTGCTATCTTTTAACATCAGACAATATAATCCTGCTTCCTTTTTTCTTTTACAAAACTTTTTTTGGCTATGCTTAATTATTTTTCTAACAAGCTTTAGAATAAAAAGTTTTAAAATGTATTTTAAGACCTTTTAAAAAGAGTGAAACCCTTAAATTTGGGTAAAAATGGCCTAGCCTCCCTTGTCTATGCCCTTGTCCACACTGTGCTGTAAAGAACCTGTTTCTGTTTCTTGATCCCCTATTAGATTAAAAACTCCTGGAGATTAAGGACAACCTCTGTGTGTGTGTATGTGTGTGTTACTGTAAGAGAGAGAATGTAATGTGTGTCTGTGTGTGTCTGACATACTTTCAGAAATCATTCAAAGACCATGGATCACAAACAGACATGTGTCATTGGAAAAATCTGCTGTAAAGGACTTCTCCAAAGTGCTTAAGAGCAAGGGTGTCAGTTTAAAACTAAGGTGCACCTGATTCAAGTCATCATCTTTTCAAATTCTTGCTATGCTTCTGAAAGCTGGACAATGAATAAGATGGCAGAAGACGACTTGATGCCTTTGAAATGTGTTGAAGAAGAACACGGAATATCCCATGGACGGCCAAGAGAACAAATAAATCTGCGGGAAAGTGCAGCCAAGGGTTCCTTAGAGGCAAGGATTGGTTAGTCTCACATACTTGGGGCATGTTGTCAGGAAAGGCCCATCCTTGGAAAACAGACATTGAACTGGGAAAGGTGGAGGGTCAACAAAAGAAAGGACATCCTCAGCGTGATGGATCGACAGTGACTACACCAGTGGGTTCAAGTGTATCAGGAGATGAGGATGGCCCAGGCTAGGGTGAAGCTCATGTCTGATACTCACAGGGACACTAGGAGTGGCAGTCAACTCGATGGCACCTAACCACAACAACATGGATCAAAATTGTCAACTCCATTGTGCGTGGGGTTATCTGACTGCACAGCAACTAACAACAGCACACAGATTTCCTTTCTTGCTTGACTACACTGGTATAACCGGCACCCCAATGACTAGAAGTGAGGGTTGACATCTTCCAGGGAAATGTATGCAGACTTTCACAATTAAGCATTGTTTTAGCAAGGAGAAAATTTTATCCACATTTATCTGAGCACTTTTTATCGCAAATGGGTGTTGAATTTTATCAGCTGGTATTAAGTTAAGGACAGCTCTCATTCATCTTTGTTTACTGGAGGCTTGGTGAGTAACAGGCGGCTAGGAATCTATAAAAGCATGTATGAATATGAGGTTGAGAAGTGCAGGAATCTTTGATATTTCCTGTCTTCCAGCCGGTGGCCTGCTAGGACCAGGGGCATGGGACTTCTTTGTTGTTGTTAGCTTCCATAAAGTCAACTACAACTCATAGCACCCTAGAAACAGCTGATCTGAACCCTGTCTTATCCTGTGTCCTCCTTATATTCCTTGACACATGAGCCCATTGCTACAGACCCCGTTTCCATCTTGTTGAAGTCAGTCTTCCTCTCCTTCTCTGTGTCTCCACCTTTCCAAGCATACTGTCCTTCTCTAAGGACTGGTCCCTCCTAACAACATGCCCTAAATATGTGAGATGAAGTTTCACTATCCTTGCCTCTAAGGAGCACCTTGGTTGCATTTTCTTCAAGACACATTTGTTTGTTCTTTTGGTATTCCATGGTATATTCAGTTCTTGAACACTATGACTCAAAGACTTCAATTCTTCTGTCATCCTTAGTCACTGTCCGACTTTCAGATGCGTAACAAGTAATTGAAAAGACCATAGCTTGGAGGAGGTGCATTTTAAGTCTTGAAATTGACATCATTCCTCCTTAGCACCTGGAGAAGTCTTTGACAGAAGATTTTTCCATTGCAACATGTCCTTTGATTTCTTCACTGCTGGAACCAAGGGTGCTGACTGTGGATCTAAGCAAGATTAAGTAGTTGACAATTTCACTCTTTCCCCATTTATCATGATGTTGCCTACTGGCTCAGTGGTGAGAATTTTTGTTTTCTTGATGTTGAGATGTAATCCATATTGACGACTACAGTCTGATCTTCTGCAGTAAGAGTTTCAAGTCCTCCTCACTTGCAGCCAGCAAGGCAATATCGTGTGCATCCTGTGGCTTGTTAATGAGACTTCCTCCAATCTTGATGCCACATTCTTCTTCATAAATTCCATAAGTAATTCATTCAGCAAACAGAAGGAATAGGTATAGAGAAAGGATATAGCCCGTATTCACAGTTTTCTTGCTTTTAAACCGTGGAGTATCCCCTTGCTGTTTGGACAACAGCTTCTTGGTCTAGGCATAGGTTTTGTATGAGCACAATTAAATGTCCTGGGATTCCCATTCTTCTCAATGACAGCCATATAATTCAAGTGCTATATATTGATTGATGTTGGACTCTGAGGTCAGTGGTGACTTGTAAAAGGTGGAAGTGGTCAAGAAGGAAGATGGGGCAGGCAATATGAGAGTGCGGGAAAAACACGGGGGCTCTTGGAAAAGGACAATGAACAGAACTGGATTCTCTGTCTTTCACATGGATAGTGGCAAAATCTTGATGCAGATGATTGCTGCTGTTGTTAGGTGCTGTCGAGGATGACTCATAGTGACCCTTTGAACAGCTGACCTGAACTCTGACCTATCCTGTGCCATCCTCATCATCTCTGATACACTCGAGCCAATTGCCAAAGATGTACATTATAGGTGGTGACTATGTGGGCACATGTCACCTGGGATTCCTCTCTCTAGCTTTAACTCAATTCAAGATCAGAGCTGGAAGCTTCAACTCACAGTACCTTGAAAGGTAAATTAAAAGTACTGGGTTGGGGATTGAGAAGGAAGCCAATTCAACTTGGGGCTTCAAAGTGGTGTGAAAAGATATGAAAATCCCAACCATCATCTGCTGTAGTGCAAGAGAGGAATGGAGCTATTGTAGTACCTGGGGTCTGCATGAGTCTGTCTCGATGGCAAGGACAGTGCCACTGGAGAGTGACGCTCACCTGGCTGGCTGTCACATTCGAGTCTCTCAGTAGGTGCTGGTTTGTGATCTGGGCTGAGACAATCTGTCCTGCCAACTGAGGGCTGGACACGAGCTGGGGCTGGGACACCACCGTGGTCCTCTGCTGTAGCTGCTGCTGGGCCTCGGGCTGCGAGGTGCTGCTGAGGCTCAGGGAGACCGCTGGCTGCTGCAGAAACATCTGGAAAACAAAACACAAACACTCTCACTCCAAGGTGGGGATCGATGTGCTTCACTCCCAGGGCTGCACTCTCTTGTATTTCTCGTCCATGTAAGCAGTCAGCTTTCTTGCCCAGCCTGACATATTTAGCTAAAACTGCCAACCTTTTCAGTTAGTCTTAAAAACCCCACCTCTATACTAGTATATTGGAACCAACTCATAGCTGGCCCTCCATTTAGTTTCCAAGGTTTTAAATCACCTGGCAAAAAACTACCCATTCTTCTACCACAGTTGCAGGTAGATTTGAACTGCCAGGGAGGCACCCCCTTTGGGTGAGCAGTGCAGCTCCCTATGGACTTCACCACCAGAGGCCCCTTTGGGACTAACAGTCTTGGATTGTCTTCTATTTAAGAGACCAATAGTTTCAGGTTAGCTGGCCACTCAAAAGCTTTTCAAATTCCAGTTGTTGGAAACAACTAGGGAAAACACTAGTTGTTTTGTACTGTTGAATCAGAAGAGACTCACAGATGGCCCTCTAGCAGGTTTTCTTTGTAAGCTGTTACTTTAAACTTTTAAAAAAAATATTCATTGTTGTACATTTTCCTCCCTCTCCCTCATTTCCTGCTCCCCCAGTTCACTTTGCAAGGCACCTCTTATTCCAGATTGCTGTCATACATATAATATCTAATCATTTATTCCTTTTAAAGAGTTCTTTCCCTCATCTGTTCCAATGTAGTGTTTAGTATCTATTCATTCTTTTCCTATTCTCTCTCCAACCACTGTGTCTGTCCTGTTTTATAACAGTGGTGTTAATGCAGTATTTGTCCTTTTCACTCAGCACAATGTCCTCCACGGTCACTCATGTTGTGTAATGTTTTGCAAGTTCACTGTTTTTCAGTGTTGTGTAGTATTCCATTGTGTGGATTGTACAATAGTTTTTCTATCCATCTATTTGTTGATGAACACTTGGGCTGCCCTAGTGCTTTTCAAAGGCAGTAAATTACATGGGAAGAGAGGGCCCATCTTTCTCCCATGGAGCAGATGGTGGATTTGAACTGCCTGCCTCTGATTTGGCAATGCAACTCCTTATCACTACATCACCAGAGCTTCCTTACTCAAGTAGGATGCAGAATATTGTCTTATGGATTATGTCATGCCAACCGGTGTGCATATCCCCTGGGATGATGGTCCTGAACTCCCAGGTCCGGTGATGTGATCCCTTAAGATACTTGATTAAGACTAAGAAATATTCATCATTTTACTCTTGCATACGTAGTTCTGGTTTGTGGTAATAGTGGGCAGAGTGCTGGCTGACCTGAGGCTGCACAGGTTGCATCTTTCCTGCCATAGGACCACACCCTGTGCCCAGTCCTGAGTCTGACCAGCGTCTGTCCCCATCCTTCTCCCAGAGCTCCTATCCCAGATAGTAAATCTGCTCTTATTAATTAGGGAGGTGACTCTGCAATGCCAGAGTAAGTTCACAGTCAATGCCATGACCTCAAATCTCTATAACAGTATGACTAAGAATAAATTTTCGAACCATCATGATAATTTCTATGTGCTTTGTCACCTAAGATGTTCTTCACATTTACCAGTCTGTGATGTAGTAAGCCTGGTAATTATACTTTGAAAGGTTCAAGGGAACGTGATGAAATTTTTGGCAAGGAGTGTTTGAGAGTTTCTGAGAATCCTGATTTACTTCATTTATGTTTGACTTATTAGATTAAGAAAAGTTGATTAAGTACTTAGAAAAATTGTACTTCTGAGGTTATCAGTCTGTCTTATTAGGTGCCTGACATACTTGAATTATTCAGATGTGTTAGCTCTGGGAATGAATGCCTTTTACAGGTAATATTTACACTTCATAATTTGTTAAAATTTATAAACTAACAGAACATCTGTAAAATATAAGCAAAAACATTATTTTAAGACCAAATTAGTAGATGTGTAAAGAAAGTATGATCTTAAAGTTGATGCTAAAATTTGAAGCAAAGCAACTTCAGTAACTTCACTAACAGTTTAAACTGGAAAAAACCCCCCACCACATCCACTGGCATTGAGTCAGAATGGCTTTCCTCATCACTGGCTTTGACTTTCCCCACGTGACCTGGTGGGAACTTGAAGTGTGTATAAACTAAACATCATGGGATTGGTCAGCTTCCTCATCCTACGTTTAAACTGAACAGGCTTAGCAGTGAAGGTGGGACTCTCACTGCCAGTGAGGACGCCGGAGGAGGGAACATAGTGCTGTCTTTGAGGGTCAGAGATTCCTGTGTCTGTTGGACTGGGATTGATATGAGAGCAGGAGCAGCCTCAGCAGAGAACCAGAGACCACGGCAAAGCAGACCTGAGTGGGGACTGTTGCCTGATGGAGCCACAGCCAGCTTGACTCAGGCCTGCTGGAGGATGGAGGGGAGGCACCATGATTGGCAAGACGACGAGAGCTTTGCAACACTGATCTAAGCTATGTGGCCTGAGAGCAAGCTTGTGAAGCTGTCCTGACCACGTCACTGTGTCTGATCGACAACCTGAATTGTAACCCGTTAACTTCTTTTGTCAAGTCAACTCATAGTGACTCTGTGAACAACAGATCTGAACCCTGCCCTATCCTGTGCCTTTCTCATCATCTCTGATCTACTCAAGCCCACTGAGACAGTCACTGAGTCAATCTATCTTTCTGAAGGCCTCCCTTTCTTTCTCTGGCCCTTTACCTTTCCAGACAGGGTACCTTTTACCAAGGACTGGCCCTTCTGACAATATGCCCGAAGCATGTGAGATGAAGCTTCACTATCCTTGCCTCTAAGCAACACCCTGGTTATATTTCCCCCAAGACAGATGTGTTTGTTCAGCAGTCCATGTGATATTCAGTATTCCTCTCCAGCACCGCAACTCAATGGCATCAATTTTTCTTTGGTTTTCCTTATTCATTGTCCAACTTTCAGATGCATAGAGAGTGACTGAAAACTTCCTGTCAGTATGGTTCTGTAGGTTTGTGTGGCCATTGCACTGGATTTGGAACCCAATAGTAGAGCAGTATGACTGGTGTTAGAAATAGTAGAAGTAGGTGCAGAAGTGTGGAGACCATGTCTGATCCTAAAAGAATTAGTTTTGTATTGTGGGTGCTGCAGATGGGGACTGTTCCTCCTTGTGAACTTAACAGAGGTTAGATTTGGCTGTCCCCACGCCACCTACACTTGCTTTACAAGTCCACTGCACTTCATCTATGTTGCTATGTGTCCTTGCATCATCTGCAACTCATAGCAACCCTATGAACAACGGCTTTGAACCCTGCCCTATACTGAGCTAACCTCTCTGTCTTCAACACATCTGACCCCATTGCCACAGTCACTGCGTCAATCCATCTCACCCAGGCCCTTCCAAGGACTCCTTAAATTGTTCAAGCTATCCACTGCCTTTGAGTTGATATGAACTCACAAGGACTCTGGAGTCCTTAATCTTTATAGGAAGAGACGGTACATCTTTATCCCACGGATGTTGGCAAATTTAAACTGCAAACTTCAGTTAGCAGCTCCTTAAACAGTTTAAACTGTTGTTATGTACCATCAAGTGGGAACTGGTTTATAGCTGACCCTCTGTCAGGTTTTTAGAGGCAGTAATGGCACAGGAAGAAATAGCTCACCTTTCTCGTGTAGAGCAGCTGGTGGATGTGAGTGAGGTACCTTTGAACTGGCCGCACTGCTCCTTCCCATTAGGCCATCAGAGCTCCCTAGTTCCAGTTTGTTGTTACAGACCTGTGATTAGCTCTCTGAACAAACACCCCTTTGGGGCATGAACAACATCAGAGTTTATGGTTTCTATCTTGACTATTGGAAAGCTGTGTTCCACCAGGTAGCTTTGGGTTCTTAAGAAGACAGCTCTCTCTCTTTCAGTGTCTGGCATTTTAACCACTACGTATGTACTCAGTGAGGTACACCACTATACCATCTACAGAACAGAAAGGCCAACTGTGCCGAACAATAGTAGTTTTGGAAAGGAAGGTGTAGAGCTGTACAGATATTTGGAGTAAAATTTAAGTATCAGTTTGCACAGTCATAGGCTGAGCTATTTGTTTGTATGGAGGCTGAGTTGGGACTTGATTCTGTCTAGTGCATTTCTTATTACACATCACCCATCTCTTTACTCCTGGGCCACTTTTACCCCTACTAGCACATTTGGAACGAGGATATTTTGTCATTTTAGAGGTTATGAAGAATCTTTTGGGCACTGATTACCTCAAATTCAGTAACCACACATTTGAGGATTAGCACTTAATACAATCCCAGCAGTTACCTCTAACAATATACATTATTTGTGGCTATGGAATGGCCTGGACTTCACCATTTCAGCAAAAATTCCATCCTCAATCCTGAAAGTGAGCTCACTCCTACTCAATCCTGAAAGTGAACTCACTCAGCTTTTCATCGAACAATACAGGCCTACAAGGTGAACAGTAACACCAGGGAGGTAAGCAATCTTTAGAAGAAGAAACCACATGAGATCAAAAGGGTGGCTTTGCTTATATCTCTGAAGGCAGGAAGGTACAGGCAAGAAGATGACTGGAAATGGGAGGCACAGGGAGGGAGTTGGAAGAATGCTATAGTGGAACAGCAGTCAAGGTCATGATAAAATTTATGGCTAGAAAACTGATTTGTACCTACAACTTCAGTACAAATCAGAATAAAATTTTTTTAAAACCCCTAATAATGAAAAATAATAGTATAGCTTTCCAAGAGGATACAATATGTCTTCTGATTGGAGTTTCCCAAGGATTTAATTGTCTCCCCAAAATGTATGACTGATGTATTGTGCAAACTGTAACAGTCCCTCATCATCTGATAAATCATGTAGTGGTAAAAAAGATTGAGGGTGGAAAAGATGCTCCTTAAGCCCATCACAGCCTTGATGCAATATAAGGGAAGTCTCCTTACCGTGTGGTCTGTAACATATTTTATGAAGGAGGAGGAAAACCAGGAGGGGAAGGGAATTCAGTACAAGAAAGAATTGCCAGGAGTGGAGTGTGT